AAGTCCGTAGTTGTAATAGGGCAGGTGTGAGAAGAGGGTAGAGCAGAAAAATGATAGCACAACTGTTTCGGCAGAAAGTTTATTCAAGGGATTGGCTTTATTCGGCCACTGACGAGTTGAAGCTTCTTTAAATATTTTTAGGTTAGTATAGCTTTAATTCCAAGTAACAGAAATGAAGGAATATCTTTAAAAAAGTAATTCAGAACTTATTTAATTTAAATTTTAAAGTATATATGAGCATGTGCATAAGTTAACCTTAAATTTCTGCTTAGAAACGCTCATTCTTTGAAAAACAATAAAAACTCAGACCTGGCCTCCTCAGCATCGCCGTTGTGATGCAGAAGAAGTAAATTGGATCCCGTCTGGTCTGGACCAAAGGAAAGTAAGGAGGAAGGCACCCGACGCCAGTTGATTGCACCATCGATAAGAAGATCACCGATTGATCCATTAGAATTTGTAATGGAATTGGTAGGTGGCACTTTTCCGACAGCTGCCATGGATCGTTCTAAAGTGATTATATTAGGTTCTTCTGTTTCGATAGCGGCGCGGAGGCACGCACGGGAGAAGTTCGTTTCAAAGCGAGCAGCCAAATGAACGTAGTGGGGCGATGTCTAATAAAGATAGTTCAAAGGACTGATGATGAGCAAGAACCATATGTATAAATACTTTTGAAAAGCCAATATGCACTATGAGCAAATGAACCAGACTAAGCAAGATTAATCTCAACCCAAAAAAAAATGAAAAAAAATGTAAATACATTTTGGGGAACAACTTAGTCCAGACTGATTTATATAGTGAGAAATTTTGTCAATTAAAAACTAAGTAATTCAAGTATAAATATTATGCACTAACGTAAGTTGAATTAAATGTAGACATAACTATTTCCTAATTAATTACCATTAATTACGATATTAGATCATATTATGCACAAGCGAGTATAGTAAGATATACGATGCCCATAAAATTAATCTATGGCTCAAATAAAAGCTAAATAGTTCATTTATAGTAAATAGCATGTCTACCTAAAGGCCCTAGATTTCTTAAACACCTGAAAAAACGATCGAAATGGACATTAAAATCAGCATGCCTCCACTAGGTATGGATATGTAAAAATGTGAATTTAATTGTGCTCCGAAGTTCTTTAAACTTTTGGGCATAAAGTAAAAAGCTTTATAATGCAAAGGGTAATTAAGCATTAAGTTTGCATTGGACAATAAAACACACTTAGGGCGAATTGCAACCAAGCTTTAATCAATTCGGCCAATAGCGTAGTCAGGCAGTGTCATTATCATTTTGGCGACAAAGAATGTCCTATTAAATAGGATTATTCAAGGAAGAGATGACAAAGGAAAATCCGATTGCACTAACCTTTTTTTTTGAAAACTTGATAAGTTTAGGTACAAATAGCTCTGCTCGCCGCTCTATCCAATCAACCAGGCAATTGGGCACCGGATGTGCAGTCACCCGAATGCATACACGAGTTTTTTCGCGGTTATAGGGCAGCTGCAGTACGCCAAGAGGGAGTGGACTAGATAATAAAGTAGCGTCATCTGATCCGAAGACATCACTGGCATTGAAACCGCCACAACTGCTGCCATCAGTTAAAATCGAGGGTAGTGTGGTATGAACATCATGGCCTAGTTTAGAAAAGGATGTGGCAATGTAAAAATAACATAAGTTCAAGAAGTCAGAAAAAGTAGAGATAAAATGATGC